TGAGCTAGGAATTTACCCCAGCTCCCAGCCATCTCTCACGGCTACTCACCCATGACGGGGGCTTTAGGTGCTCCTGGGCCAAGAGAAGGCCGAGGCCTCTGCCTCAGCCTTGCGGCAGGGACTGTGGCCGAGACCCTGGTGGGGTTCAGTTTGGGAAGGGCGCCCCCGACCGAGTCTGTTTTCTTTTCTCTCTTTTTTTTTTTAAGATTGATTTTTATTATTTTTTCATTGGAAATGCAGATTTACAGATACTAGAGACAGAGAGGACGATTTTCCGTCCGATGATTCACTCCCCAAGTGAGCTCAACGCCCTTACTATGCCGATCCAAACCCAGGAGCCTCTTCTGGGTCTCCCTCGCAGGTTCAGGGTTCCAAAGCTTTGGGCCGTCCCTGACTGCTTTCCAGCCATCGGCAGGGAGCTGGATGGGAAGCGGTTCTGCTGGGGTACAACCGGTGCCCATATGGGATCCCTGGTGTGCAAGGCGAGAACCTTAACCATTGCCCCTCTTCATTGGGCCCCGTGTCTGTTTTCTGAAGACTGAGAATTTCAGAACAGATGCCCTGACAAACAGGCCCTTTATGTGCAGATTTGCATGTTGGTAGTTGATTTGGGAAGAGCCCTCAGAAAAGACACCTGCAATGGAACAGCTGCATTAAACCTGGGCAAAAATGTGCTTGTCACAGGAGTCTTGGCTACATGAGAGTCTGACGTGGCTCTTCAGAGATATCCTTCATATAGTCCTGGGACAAACCCTGTGCTTTCCAGACAAACCAGTCCTTTTCTGAGGCTGTCTCAGAATGTAACTGAACATTTGAACAGCAGTGCTGGATGTTAGATAATGAAGCCATAGCTAAGAATTGTTCATCAACTTAAAGGGAAAAAAAATGAATTCTTCTGGATATATTAAAGTTTTTTTTAAAATCATTCTTATGTGCATCCTTAAGGAAATGTTTTAAGAAACTGTTTCAATATACAGAGTAGAAAGATATAAGATTTCAACCCAAAAACATATCAAAGAAAATTCAGAAGTGATGGACGAGCCACTGTGTACACTGACTGGGTTTACATACCTGTGATTCTTCCAGCTCCCTCTTGCCCATCAGAAGGACCAATCAAAACTGAAATAAAATGTTCATTATCTGTACATATTTATTAAACTTAATAAACACTTCTTTTACTGTAAACATAAACATCATAATGAAAAAACAGCCAAAAGTATACAAAAGAGGACATCCAAATGTTTGTTAATAATAAAATGTTAAAACTTATCAGTATTGAAGAAGTATAAATTTTGAAAAAACAAGTTCCATCCAGAGTCTATCACTTTTAAACATGAAAAAGATTGTAACACTTAGCATCGTGCATTGGTGTGATATGGGCATTCTCAGGCAGTGATGGTGAGATTACAATTTGTTTTATTAAACCTGGAGAACAATCATTAACACAAAGCAAAACTTTTGGGTGCTGGTTCATGTTCTGGTTGCTCTACTTTCAATCCATCTCCATGCTAACAGTCTGAGAAAGCTGAGGATGAAAGCCTTGGTACCCGGGCATATTTCACCCCTCTTGGAGAACCATAAGTATCTCCTGGCTGTGGCTTTGGCCTAATCCTGTGCCAGCCATTGCAGCTATATGGGAAGTGAACCAGCAAACGAAAGATTTCACTCTCCCCCTCTCTTTCTGACTCTGACTTTCAAAATAAACAAATATGTTTTAAGAAAGAAATCAGTAAATGAAATTTTATGTTGGTAATCTGTTGTAAGAAAGAATAATGTGGTAATATTTTAGTACTGCAGTTTCAAAAGCTAAGTGGGGATTTAAAAGTTAGATAGTAAGACAATAATGCAAAATTGTGATTCTATCTCACTTCCCACTTCCATACCAATCACAATTATTTCTTCCCAACCAAGCAATTGTTTATATTCAATGGCAGAAAATATTCTTATCTCGCACTGCTTATATTTTTCTATATTAAAGGATATCTATTCACCAAATTGAACTGAGAGAAGTCCCAATAAACTTGAACATTTGAAAGGAAAAATGACTCATAAAAGAAGTTAGGCAGAAAGGAGCAACTGAAATAAACAGTTGATAATTTAGGTATGAACTAATTTAATTCACTTGCAAAAGGCAATGTGAAAACCTGAATTTAAAACAAAAAAATGTTGGGCCCAACACAATGGCCTGGTGGCCAGGATCCCATTTAGATGCCAGTTTATGTCCTGGTGGCTGCCCCACTTTTCATCCAGCTCCCTGCTTGTGGCCTTGGAAAGCAGTCGAGGCTGGCCCAAAGCCTTGGGACCCTGCATCCACATAGGAAAATCAGTAGAAGCTCCTGGCTCCTGGCTTCGTATTGGCTCAGCTCCAGCCATTGCGGCCACTTGGGGAATGAACCAGCGGACGGAAGATCTTTCCCTCTGCCTCTCCTTCTTTCTGTAAATCTTCCTTTCCAACTAAAAAAAAATCTTTTTAAAGCATGTTTTTTGAAGTTTTATTTTTTTTTTTTTTGGTGGGGAAGAATTAAATATAAAAGATGTTGTGATTTGTTTGGAGGAAGCAACTTGACACACTTGCCCTGAGGTACACCATGGTGTGCAGACTGCAGAAGTCCATTCTGCTCATGCAAGGACACAGCCTGACTTTGCTGTCCTTATGATTATCAACTCCATTTATTTATGAATTCAATTCATAAGCATTTATTGAGCAATGACTTCATTATACTGTTTTTGCTACTGATGCTTTTTCTACTCTTTATACAAAAGAGATGTCTAAAAGGGAAAAATTAATGTGTAATTAAATTACATATATGCTTTTTTCTATTGATTATAGTCACACACGTTCTTAAATGCTACTTAATATCTTGTAATGCACATATACCACACCATGATTCATATGATGAAGAAAAATAAATCAGAGAAAGAATGTGTGGTCATAAAGAGACTAATTTAGTTGGGATGGTCTGATACAGAGAAATGTCATGAGAGTTGAATGACGAGAAGGCATAGCCTGAGATACCTGGAGGCCAGCGTGCTAATCTGAGGGGTAAGTGCAAACTGTCAGGGGGCAGAGCACATCACAGTTGGACTCACTGTAGAGCAACTCTGCTAAGGTGCAAAAACATGAAAAGGGTAATCCAGAGGCAGATGTAATCACAGGCTGACCTCAGGCAGAGTCAAGGACATGAGGCCACTCAAGGCCTATCCAAAGCAAGCGACGGGATCCAATCAGGCTCCTTAAGGTCTTGGTTTTGCTAAATAGGAAACAGGGGTATGGGCTAAGCAGCAATGGATACAGTCCAGAAGTAATAGTACATTGCCTAAGAAAAGCCAGGTTTTCTTATAAATGAAATTTATCTCATGAAGGGAAAACTGTGACAACCCAGATTTCGGCTGTCGTCACCAGAAAGCAGAGCACTGAAAGAACCCCCACGGCCTGGTCACCTACATTTTCATGAAGGATGCTATTACCAGCAGCATTTCTTTTTTAAAAAGATTCGTTTTTGTTGTTGTTGCTATTATTATTATTATTATTATTATTATTATTATTAAGGCAGATATACAGAAAGAACAAGACACAGAGAGAATGATCTGCCTGTTTGTTCACTCCCCAAGTAGCTGCAACAACCGAAGCAGTGCCGATCTGAAGCCAGGACCCAAAGCTCTGGGCCATCCTTTACTGCTTTCCACAGGCAGGGAGCTAGATGGAAGTGATGTCACTGGAACATGAAGCAGCGCCCGTATGGAATCCCGGTGAATGCAAGGCAAGGGTCTAGCCACTAGGCCACCTCACCAAGACCACAGCAGCATTTCTAAACCATCCTGAAATGGTTCTCCAAGGCCCAGACACCCACTCATCACGTATGGAGAAGAAAATGTAGTAGATGCAATTGCTTCCTGGTGACCAACTGGCATTCTAACAATTCTTAAGAAGCTCCTTGATACAATTAAAAACTGAGGCTTTTGAAGAAGGGATTCAAGTCCTATAGTCCAGCTTATAGATAACTGCATAGGTAGATAGATAAATGTTTGGATGAATGATGGATGGATGAAAGAAAGATTCCAGAGAAGCAAAGGAAAGGTAATATGTTCACAAATTTACAAAAAGCAGAAAGGAAATGTGTATGTCCCAAAATGTTAATATTGCGTGATTTCCACTTAACATTTTTTGCCGGTGAATGAGTATGTTAGAAAAACATACTCAGGGAAAGCAGGAGAAATCTTCATGATTCTTAGAGCACAAATGAGACAGCCAGAGAAGAGTGACTGTGAAGTGCCTCTTCATCCAAAGTTAAGGTGAAGAAAACCAAAATCTCAGCCAAAGAAACACTTAAATCTAGTACCACCCACTCCAGTCCTGAACAAATGGGTTAGGAACCGCTTGGATGTACCTAAAACGAAGAACTGTCTCCTGGCCTCTCATACTCAAAACCATTAAGCCTTCCCTACAGAACAGACTGAGCATCCTTATTCCAAATAGTCAGAAATTGGATGTATTCCAAAATCTGAAATATTTTGAGTAGTAACATAACCCCAAAAGGGGAATATTCTCCATCTGATTTCATGTGATCGTTCAGTCAAAACAAGGTCATACTAAATATGCTATGTAAAATTGTGCTGAGGACTCATTATCAGGCCCATGCAAAACATGAGCTCCATACTCAGATGTGAGTCTCAACCTCAAGACAGCCATTATGTTTAAGGCAACCATTAAAAAATCTGAAAAAAGCCAAATCCTAAACCCTACTATTCCCTGACTTTGCAGATAAAGAATACTCAGCATGTCCTCTGTGATCTCACTAAATACAAAATGCGACTTTCATTCACATTAAGAATGTGTCTGAGGGCTTCAAGTTGATTCAGTGAATCCTTCTCCACCAGTACAAATCCGCCGGTTAATGATTAGCTCTGCCTGTAGAAAGTCGAAAGTGCTTCTTTTTATCCGTTCTACATTTACATACCTTTCCACATCTATCAGAAGTCTCTTCTTGGTTCGTTCCTGGTAGTAGGACGAGTAACATTTTCAGCTTCTCATCTGTAGGAAGAAAATTTCCACAAGTTGAAGGGTTCATCTGATATTGAAATTGATGCCATCGTCTTGGTTATTTAAAACTATGCAAATCTTTCCACAATGTAACATGTAAATGTATTTTAAAAGAGCAAATACATAATATTCTAAGTAGTTGGTCAGATTTAACTGAAATTTGACCATTATTTTAGCATTGAGTTTGTAGTTTTAATAATGGATTCTAAATTTCTGTAGTCTGTTTTAAGTGCTTATCTTTGTCTGCCAAAGCAATAATCCAAAAAGACAAAAGTAATCTAAGTTTTGCTCAAATAACTATCTATATTCATTAACTGCTGAAAAAAAGTAACCTTTTCAAGATATTATTTCATGGTGAAGGGGAAGTATAAGCTAATTTGATGAATTAGTTAAAATACTCAATATTTATTTGAAGTATAATGGATGTTCCTCATCTTCCATACATTAACCCATGTTAAGTGTCCTCAACACTTACTAGTATGCTGTATTGATTAGTTTCCCAATAAATGATAACTTAGCAACACGAGAGACTGGGTGATGAGTGTGGAAGGGAACATAACAAAACTGTGAGCTTTTCTTTTTAGGAATGACTGATGAGGAACGATGACAAGCACTTGTGAGTCCACGAAACAGTACAGTTTTTAGAGTGCTATTTTTCTGTCAGTTTTACTAAACAAGATGGTAAAAATCAAAACCAATGAATCAAAGCCCTTAGTCCCATTTCAGCAACTCCTTAGTCTCCAAGGATATCAAGAGAATGTCAAAGTAATTGTTCAATATGAGCTATAATTACATTAAATGAGTAATGTAATAAAAGAGAGTGTCTGGTTTTAACAACAAATAATAATTAACAGGAGAGTCCAAATCAAATGCTGTTCTTAGCCATAAATCAGAAGACAGGAAGGAGGAAAGGGGAAGAGAGAGCAGAGGACCTTCTCTGGGGAAATACAAAAACAGCCCTACTGGTGAGGAAAAGAATTACGGTGATAGGAAACTATTTTTTCACAGTTGCGAGTTAAAGTTTAAACAGTTCAAAACCATCTAAGACCATCTTTTTCTCTCCTTGTAGGAAAATACAACAAAACTAAATGTTCCTTCTTCATAAAATGCATTCTAACCTTGAGATTTCACGGTATTTTACAGAAGGCAATGAGTGTTGATGGAGTTAACATACACTATTTAGAGATTTTAGAATCTCAAAAACGATTGTTCCTCGGGGAACAGTACCTCCTAAATGAGTGAACCAGCATTTAATTCAAAACAGAAAATTCCACAAAATTCCAGCAAACTTGCTCCTCTGGATACACTTGCCCGCATGTTGTTCCCACACACTCGGCAGGCCCTCGGTACCATGTGCGTGCCTGTTTCATTTCCTCCCTTGCACACGCTTGAGTCATGAACCCAGACATTCAAAGTTCGAAGTCTGATGCTTTTAGGAATAGCTTCTTTGTTTCCAGGCACAGCAGATGAGTGAAGGTGGGAATTTGAATTGTGAAACCAAAGTATAATACTGATTACTTCATACGCAAACTTCATATTTTCATCCCAAACAAAATGTAAGTCCTGTAGAGAATTGTGATCTAACAGCAGATGATCCGTCATAGAGAAATAAGGATATGTAAAAGGTCGCACATTGACAATGGGTGTAAGACCTATCGCTTGCTCTTTTCAGTGAGAGGTTACGAAAAACGAAGCCAAGAAAACATCAAGTTTTACATTTTTAAAAGACTGACTTATTTATTTTGCTTGACAGGCATAGTGATAGGAAAGAGGAATTGACAGAGAAAGAGAGAACTTTCTCCCTACTGGTTCATTGTGTAAATGATGGCAACAGTCTCGGTTGGATCAGGCTAAAAGCTGTGCTTATCTGATGCCCCTGGAAAGTCTAGAGTGGCTTTTCCCTCCTGTTGTATGTTGCAAAGACAGCTGAGGCTCTCTGTGCATCTCTGTCTGTGTCACCCAATGCTACTCTGGCCTTGCCCCAAACCTGGCTGTCTCAGGATAGTGGTGCTTTCTATACACAGAACAGCTTCCCCCCAAAACAAACTTCACAAGAGCAAGATGACCCAGCCTTTGAAATTCTGGAATAAATGCTTCCTCCACAAACTATTGGTCAACCAATCAATAACCAAAGGTCAGATTCAAGACTATCTATCTCAAAAATAATAATGAACCTATTTTATCTGCCATATAATAATCCCATTTACTGTTGCTTTAAAATTAAAGAGTATTTTTAAAAGCTGTGGCATAATAAACCAAAACTTACTCTCCTCCCTTTGAAGTACTATCTTAGCCTGCTGGTTCCATTAAAATACAAAAGAGAGTTATTGATAAGTTTAGTTGTCAACAATTTGCTTAATTTATGAGAATTATAAACACCATGCACTGTAAGAATGAAGTGTATAAATCTAGTATAATTTAATACACTTCAAAAGGAGTTTTTCGTAAAGTGATCATGACCTCCCAACTGTCCTACATTTTCCTTCATTCAAAATACAGTAGGCTTTTGTAGCAAAAAGGTCTGAAATTTCTATTATGAAAGATCTAATTGTGCTACAATAAGAGGTGTTCTATTTAACTGTATCTGTGAATTTTGCAATTTGGTGCTTATGAACTTTGCTAACATGTAAAAGCATGCACTGAGCTTTTTAGTCTGTGCCAGCAAATACCTTAAGCACTTAATACCTATTAACACATTCAAATTTCCAAATGGCCCTGGGAGGTTAATAGTAATATTATCCCCATTTAATAAATAGAATGTCTGAAGCAAAAACCCTGTAGACTCTCAGAAGGCCAACAAAATGTAGGGCTGAGATCCAAAGTCACACACCTGGCTTTGTCTAATGCTTCAACCACTTTGGTGTTCGGCATAAACAGTTTGAATATTCACAGAAGTAACAGCTGGAGCCACAATTACTTTGTCTAATGTATCTGTGATATTTTTCCTATACACGAAACACTTGAGAAACAAATCCTTTATGTCATAAACTAAAACCCTATCAATCACAGACTGAAAATACAATTGGAGAAACAAATGAAATATGGAGTACATTCTGTACTATTTCTAAGTAGGACAACATTAAGACATATATTAGAACCTAGTGTTGTCATCTGCAATTGGGCCAGTTGGCTTGGTAGGCTAATCATCATTACTTGTGTACAATTTTTTTCCAATAAATTGCTCTCCAACAAGCGTCATAAACAAGTGTTGAGGATTTTAAGAATCTACACCTTTTGCACTCTTTGTTGACATGCACATAAACAACATATGGAGGTCGCAAGTGTGAACTAAAAGTACGGGTAGACATTTAACACCTCTGTATCTACTACAGTTACCATGAGTAGTCCAAACATAAAGACAGCAAAGTAGTAAATGGATGATCTTTATGCAAAATTCAGCCAAATACAGTTTAGGCTAGACAAAGCAACTATCAGCATCAGGTTAGGCCTTTAAGCAGGCACCAAAGCACATTGTCACATCTGAGAAGACACAAGAAAAGCAACAGCAGAGAATGAAAAGCCTGAAAGATAATTTAGATGGATTAAAAAAAAAAAGCAGTTTAGATGGATAACTGGCCAGAGACAGAATTAGATGCCAGAGAAACCTATCACAGGTCACAGAGCCCAGGGAAAACGAGCAAGCCATTCTCAGGCAGGGTTTCTTTTGAGAACAGGCGGTCCTCCACCATCGTAATTCCTATCAACACAGCCCCTTTATGATAAAACAATCGGGGTTTTCCCAACCTCAAAACCTCTTGAAATCAATGGCTCTGGAACTATGCACTTCCAAGAATCCAGTGGGGCAGCTAAGAGAATCCAGCTGTACTGCCGGAAGTACAATTTTATCATTAAAAAAAAAAAATCTCGGACATCTTGGAATTAGTAATTTTGATTTCTAGCAAGTACATATCTTCAATAAAAAAATACATAACTTGATACAAATATCTAAGAACTTTCCCTTCTAGGTCAAAGACCTTGTGGGTAAAAAATAACTCTCCAACATATCCTTCTGAGGTGGCAATTCTCTTTTCTAACCATTTTTCTTACCGTTTCACTAATTGGAACCTTTTGCAGTTCCAGAACTTTCCTATCCAAATCCTATTCTGTTTGTGGTTGAGGAGTGAACAGGAGTTTAAAGTCACCTATCACAAATTCACTTTGCACTGCAATCTGTAAAGCTAGAGTCTCCTTTAGGAACGTCTGACAGCAGAATGCATCCATTTCCCTTTCTGCCTTTTATTTTCTGAGTTTAAAAAAAAATCCTTTTCCTTTTATATGCTCTCATATTAGCCACTAAGATAACTGAACTATTTTTTTTGCCCCTTTATTAAAGCCAATGGGGCATTGCAAATTATCATTATACTACTGAGTCAGTAAGAGCCATAGAGTTTTTAAAAAGTATTATTGAAAGAACTAATTTAAATGCACATCAACTACTTTTCTCATTTGAATAATACAGTCATGTAATTTTTTCAACTGCATTAAAAATGCCCAGTTTAAATTACAGAATACAGTTCCTGATGTGGGTCCCTAATGTGGGTTTTCTGGCAGCAAGTATTGATTTAATATTTTTATAATGCTTCTAAATAAATCACAAAGAAAATGATTAATAAATTTTGAAACAAGGTTTTCATTACAGGTTCTGATTGAATTGCCTTTAAAATTATGATATTTCAAATACAGACAGAATTTTCTATTTAATCATATAGGAGTAATGAGGAAGATTCAGTCTTTTTGCTTCAATATTCCAACAATTCCAAAATATGGGAAAGTAATAATAACTAACATTTTTAAGCGAATTTAAATGAGTGACTATATGCTGTAGACCAAAAACATCTCATCTAATCTTCCAAAGAACCTTGAAATAAAAGGTGTTATTTGTACTTCTGTTTTATAATGATGAGATTATCAAAACTCCCTATATTCATTCTTAACACAACTTTGAAAGCTCAGATAGCTTAAACACTATTCAGGATTATAACTAGTATTTTTGAGTTTCCCAGTGATACGACTGCACCTGTGCCTAAAACATCCTTCTGACAAGCAAACTCAATTGCGGGTAGGCATTTGTTTCCAGTGTGATGCCAAGTGAGGTGTCCACTTTTCACAGACGGTGCTCGGTTCTGCTCCCAGTTTTAACTTTCTGCCAACATGCCTTGTGGGAAGCAATGGAGGATGACTAAAGTATTTGGGTCCCTATCAGCCAGGCAGGAGACTGAGTTCCTGGATTCAACTTCCACAAAGGCGAGCCCTTGTTAACTTGGGGGCATGTATGGAGTGAACGGGCAAGGGAAGAGTGCTGTCTGAATAAACTTCTGTTTCTGCTTTTTGAATATACTAAAAAAAATTTTTTAAGTAAAAAATATATTTGATTATATATATATATTTATTTCTATATATAATTGGTTTTATTTATTTGTTTATTTAAAATGCAAATATAGAGAGACAGAGGGGGAGCTCCTAGCCACTCCATCACTCCTCAAATGTAACAGCTCTTCACTGCAGCCAAGTCTGCCATGTGGGTGACAAGAACCAGTGAATTGAGCCCGCATCTCTGCCTCCCAGGGTCTGTTTTAGCAGGAAGCTGGGGTCAGAAGACAGAGTGAAGTATCAAACATAGGCACTCCAAAATGGGTCATGGGTTTCTTAGTCAACCAACCAAACGACTGCCCCTCACTTTTATTTCAAAGGATACAGCACAGAAAACATAATTTAAAAAGAAAAAATCTGGGCCTGCTATGGTAGTATAGCAGATAGAGTCCTCACCTTGAACAGGCCAGGATCCCATATGGGCACCAGTTCTAATCCTGGCAGTCCCTTTTCCCATCCAGCTCCCTGCATTTGGCCTGGGAAAGCAGTTGAGGACGGCCGAAAGCATTGGGACCCTGCACCCACATGGGAGACTTGGAAAAAGTTCCTGGCTTCTGGCTTTGGATCAGCGCAGCACCAGCCATTGTGGTTACTTGGGGAGTGAATCATTGGACAGAGGATCTTCCTCTCTGTCTCTCCTCCTCTCTGTATATCTAACTTTTCAATAAAAAATAAATAAATATTAAAAAAATAAATATGAATTGGGCATTGGTATGGTAGCCTAGTGGCTAAAGTCCTTGCCTTGTATGCATCAGGATCCCATATGGGCAATGGTTCTAATCTCAGATGCACCAGTTACCAATCCAGCTCTCTGCTTATGGCTTGGGAGAGCAGAAGAAGATGGCTCAAGTCCTTGGAACTTTGCAGTCATGAGACAGACCTGGAAGAAGCTCCTGGCTCCTGGCTTCAGATTGGCTCAGTCCCAGCCATTGTGGCCACCTGGGGAGTGACTCAATGGATGGAAGCGCTTTCCTCTCTGTATCTCCTTCTCTCTTTAAATCTGACTTTCCAACAAAAATTAGTAAATAAATAAATAAATAAATATAACTTAAGAAGTTGTTTTATTAAAAGGAGATATCCCAAGCAACTTGGAAGTTCCTATCACAATGAATTTCAACAAAAGTAAGTCTACAATCATTTATTTTACTTGAACATCTTTTCAGCTCTTAAACATCGGAGGAAATCTAGTAAGACAATGAAAGAAATAACCCATGTTTGCCTGGTAGCAGTCATCTATAAATGTGGGACTTTCAGAAACATTCTAAAGGATTGTGAGTCTATTCTCCTTGGTAATATATTCCACAACTTACATATAGGTAATAAAGTGCTATGCAACTACTCGTTGAGATAAGAAGTCTTCACAAGATTAACCAAGAAAAACTTAGCAGCTTTCAACAAGTTTCTGTCGAGGTTCTGAGGCTCTCAGACTCCTATCTCCTCTGTCCGTCCATTTCTATAGCAGCTTTGTTGTGCTTTATGATGATCGTCTCAGCCCCTTGAGACGAGCCATAGGAAAGGTACAATAGATGCATTATTTGTATTGTCTAGTTTTGTATGAGACACACATTGGGAAACCACTGCTTCATGGAATAGCATTTACACAAGGTCTCCAGGGGGCACCTCTTACCAATCTCACTGGCTCAACCCAAGGCTGAATGACAATAAAGCATGGGAAAAATTTAAAAAGAAAGGTACTTTAATGTAATGTGTATTCCTGGAAATGTGATACAGACCTAGAAAACACCTTTCTTAGTTCCTAGGAAGAGAAACAGCGTTTCTCTGGGGACTTTCTGCAACGATGCCCAAAGTATTGTTGGCTAAAACAAACATTCTCCATTAGCTAAAGGTGTACTTCAAAATTTTTTCTTTAAGAAAACACTCATTCTTTCATTGAAAAATAAAATAGAATAAAATGAAGGAAAACAAAATAATAAAATTAAATAGGCAAACCAGAAATAAGATGACAAATTCTTCACCAAGCTGTTTTATGGGACCCTCTTACACTTTCTCTGTCATCAGAAGGCAAAGGAAGCCATAGGAAATAACATAAGTGAATGGGTAGAGTGAGACTTTAACACAACCTCATTTGCACACATAAGCTTGCTTTGGCCCGGGGAGCTCTAGTCTGCTGACTATTAATATGTTTTGCAGACCTGTTACTGATTGTAAAATTTTTTTTTTTAAAGTCTGACAAGATTGTCAAACAGGTCTAAAACTTCAGATCTTTCGACATTGGATTCTCTCTTCCTGCAGCACTGCCACAATGCTCTCATGCCAGAGTTTGCTTGCAAAGCTGGAAAGCTGATGTGGATCACCCATCGGGCTGGCACTTTAGAGTCCTTACTCCCCTAGGACCACACAAGGAAAACATCTTCTCCCCAGCTTCTCACCAAACACCTCGTAGCTGAGGTGGGATACAGAGAATACTGGGTTTGGAGCAACAGATTTTGATGTGCACCACTGCAGTCTCATTCACAAACTACATGTACTCCAGCTGAGTCGGGCTGTCCGTGGCTTTCATTTTCCTTATCTATAAGAGTCAATATTTAACTCAATAGGAATCATGTCAGGCTCAAATGAGAAAATCTGCCTAAATATCCCTTATTAATTACAAAGGACTAAACAAATACAAGCAATGTCATCACATCAATAAAATACACAGAAAAATGAATGGCTGTCTTCGAGTAAACTATGATCACTGGATTATGGGAGAGGTTGTGAGGGCAAACACACAAGTTCCAAGTACGCATATGCTAATGATTTCAGTCTACTCCAGGGTCTCCAGATTACACTACTAACTTGGATAAGTATATTATAAACATAGTAGAAAAAGTACAACAAATTATATATATATATGATTTATTATATACACATATGATTATATATATATATCAAATGGGGCATGTCAGAATAGCATACCAATTATTTTAAGGTTTACTAAAATGACATACTGTGTTGAGTTAAGGAATAAGCAACATTTTCACATCTGAAAGAATGTCTGACATTGGGGCACTAAACTTAGAACACAATACAAGCTTACCATAAATTCCCAATCAAACATTGAACCAGAATAGGCAGGAAATTTTCCAGGGTTCAGCTGATGAAATTTCCCAAAGCTTCTAGCTCTTCACAGATCCTTAACCATGGTCTTCTGCCAAGGGAACACAACTCAGGACCGAGCTCCCTCGCAGCTGAATCATGCTCTGTGATGACATCTGTAAGTTGTGGGAAAAGAATGGCATTGCTAAATATTGTTTCTGATGTTTTCTGTGATAATCACATTAACTTGATTTAGTAAGTACTCCAGAGTCTGCTGACTGGCTTGCTGTAATTCAAAAGCTTTCTTAGAGTTAGCTCATTTCTGAACTCTTTGGGTCTGCTGTAATGACAAGTGAGGAGCTGACAAGAAGTAGCATCATATTTTTCCTAGAGTATCCCATCAGATGTGAGAAATATGGGGACATGGTGCCAGGCAGCAAGAAAGAGTCCTTGCTTTCTTTCTTTCTCTCATGGTATTTTAGGTACAGCATGCAAAAGATACTGGTGGGATACAGAAATCATGAGCTCTCATCCATAAAAGTCATTGGTTTCGTTTAGAACCATAATTTTATAGTTTACACATATGTAACCCAGGCTTAATAACATCTGTATCAATGAAAAATACAGAATACCAGACATGTTACTTATTATGTTTTGTAAATATTCAAAACCAGGATAAAATAACCATCAAACAATGCTTCACGTACTAGGGAATGACTTCAACTCTGGAAATACAATAAAATCATGTTTTAATTTTAAAAATGAACAAGGTCCTGCCCTTGGCAATTATCTCAGAATCTTGGAGGGCAGGAACTGTGCTCAGGAAAGTGTCATTTCAGCACCACATTGTACATGGTTAGTGTGGCATTTTAGTTTTGTTACGCCACAGCCCTGCTCTGTTCTATCACTGATGCAAGAAAAACATTCAGAAATACCTCATTTTTCCTCTACAGGCATTCCTCTCTTTGTTAGCACATGCTTCAATAAGGGAAATCTACCTAATTTAATTTTTTGAATGATTGTTCAGTTGCAAGTAAAAGGAGCAGATAAGATCACCAGCAGCTATTATTTTGGGAAGGATGGAGTTGGCCGAAAAAATGGCAGTAATGGAAACTGCCCCACGCGGCCTCTGGGACCTTTGAAGGGTTTCTCATTTCTCACTGACTCATGTTTCACCGTCTGTAAAAAAGAGGCAACAATTGCCCCTGACCAGCCACAAGAATGATCTGAGTGAAAATGTAATTAAATATGTGAGTTCCTCGGAGTCCTTTTTGTAAGAAAAGTATGATGTAAAATTAAGATATCATGATAGTTACCATGGCTGTCACTACTGCTGTTACTTCATGGTCGCATTACAATATCCCTGTCACCTAGTAACGATCTTCTTGGACCAAAAGTGACAGGTGTAAAACGATTTTTTTTAATGTCATACTTGCTTTGTGCTGTAAAGTCTGTGAGAACCTCAGAGGACAAAAACGCAGCATTCCTGTGGGTCAGGTTTCTCTAACCCCAGATGTACTGCACACACTCATTATCTTAGTCCTCCCACCATTTAATTATCATACCTTTTCATCCAAATATAATGCAAAGCTTCAGCTGATCTGAGTAGTGTTATAAAACACTGGGGAAGCTGTCTTTAAAGCATTATGCTGTGCCAACATTCCTTGAATCTGACCTTGTTGGACAGCAGAACTATTTCTATTTCTAGAGGAGAAACTAATTTTAGATGTCCCTCTTGCTGAGTCATGTGACATTTGCACAGTAGTGAATGCCATTCCATGCCAGTGAAAGAGCCTATGGCTGGAGCCTCCAATCCCTTTTCCTCCTCTGTACAAAGAGAAAGCTGACTGAAGTCTACAGTTCCTCCACTTCAAAAATTGCTGCGATTGGGCCCAGCGGCATGGCCTAGCAGCTAAAGTCCTCACCTTGAACGCACTAGGATCCCAAATGGGCACTGGTTCTAATCCTGGCACCTCCACTTCCCATCCAGCTCCCTGCTTGTGGCCTGGGAAAGCAGTTGAGGATGGCCCAAAGCTTTGGGACCTTGCACCCTCTTGGGATACCCGGAAGAAGTTCCTGGCTCCTGGCTTCGGATGGGCATAGCAGCGGCCATTGCGCTCACTTGGGGAGTGAATCATCGGACGGAAGATCTTCCTCTCTGTCTCTCCTCCTCTCTGTTTATCTGACTTTCCAATAAATAAATAAATAAATAAAGCTTTTTAAAAAAATTGCTGCGATTATATTTATTATGATTAAAAATTCCCAATAGTAATAAGAGCTGAATATAGGATCCTCAAATTCAACTCAAAGAACAAATCAAGTGTTCTTGGGTAAAACAGTAAGGAAACTTTGAGTAGTTCAAGGATGAGCGTGAGAGTATAGGTACTTCCCTTTCCAAAGAGGAAGACTTCTGATGAAGTTTCAATGATTAAGGCTCAAAATATAGTAATACAATGGATCAGAATGAGAAATTACAAAAGAACAATTTGTATTTATAAAAGAATTAGTGAGGGGACTACCAAAACAGAAAAAATATTTGGAATGGAATTCTTATCCACGTCTAATTGTCATTCATATTCTATAGAAAATAAAGTGATTGGCTTTCTCCTATTAAATTAGTGACTGGTAATATTGCTTCCTTCCTTATTTTTTTAAACAATTTTTAATTGATTAAAAAACTTTTGGTCTCAATCTTTTGGTTTCCACGTGAAGAAAATGATTACTTACGGATGCCATCATTTTCTCCCTTTAAGTACATTTACAGTTCTTTCAGTATTGTTGTGCATTGATTAGAACTTTGAGGTTGTGCCGGACCATATGCCCAACAAAATACGTCCTTTGGATGGTACTACTAAGTGAACATTGGCCATGCTATTGGGTTTAAACTCATTCCTTTAGAAGAATTTCCTATCTCTAACACAGTGAAAATCTGGTTTTGATTCACAAAACTACGCTACATTTACAAATGCCTTTTAGTATCTGCCAGAGAGTTTTCATTTTTTCTAGTTATCATGTAACATGATATGATGAATCATTACAGCCCATACCTCAAATTTCTAGATTACACTTTGACACATATTTTATTTAAAATCAGTATTTGATAAAGCTGCTTTTAACATTTGTACCAATACTCTCGAGTGAAACTGGTTTATGGGTGTTTTAGTATTCACAACAGGTGTGCAAAGTTAATAATTTGTTCCCTAAACTGTACTTTTGGAGAGTAGTGCGGGGCCTCAACAGGCTTATCCTCCAGCTACCAGTGCCAGCATCCCCTGTGGGTGCCGGCTGAGGTCTGGACTGCCTACCTCCTCACAGAGCTCACTGCTTACGGCCTGGGAAAGCAAGAGAGGACAGCTCAAACGCTTGGGTGCCTGCACCCACGTGGAAGGCCTGGGAGAAGCTCCTGGCCCTTGACTGGCTCAGCTATGGCTGTTGTAGGCATTTGAGGAGCAAAACAGCAGATGGAAGATCTGTCTCTCCTCTTTGTAATTTTGTCTTTCAAATGAAAATCAATAAATCCTTTTTAAAAACTGTATTTATGGATATTACTTAGCTGAACAGCACCCAAACAGTATGGACTTCAATGTCCAATTCCAACCATCAATATTAACAGTTCAGCTGTAGATCTATTTGATACAATGAATGAATGATATTTCAGTCTTCTTTACACAGATTAAAAGACTTTAGGAAGCAGAGTTGTATAACATCAAACCAGTTCATGTATTTAGAAATCAAACATTTAAGCTTTTCAGCCTATATGTGCAACACTTATATGAAAAGAAAACTAAATTGATTTTCTTTTTTGATAAACTACATTACTTATACAATGTTTGATTTCATGAAAGGAAACAAACTCTAGCCAGAATAAATTTTGATAAAACCTGGCGTTATACAAGAACAAAACTCTTTCATAACAAGAATTAATGGTGATGTAGCTCATGCTGCCTGCATCAACCTAAAAAACCTAGGTCCAAGTGAAAATTATAGACTGGATACAAGACACAAAAGCAACAGAGAAAAACTAGTGACATTTCTGTTCACTAACAAAGAACAATTTTAAGAAAATTAAGTCTATAACATGTCTACAGGTATAAAATAGCAATAAGCTTAAGCAAGACTATGAAAGACTTGTACAATAAGAACTACAAATATTTGCTGAATGAAATTTCAAGACACCAGTAAATGCACAAGCATCCTATATTCATGAATTGAAACATCTAATTTTGTTCAGCTATCAACAATACTCAAACTAATGATACATATTCAACATAAGTGCTAAAAAAAATCACAACTATACATTTTGTGCAAAAAATTAAAGATTGTGTTCGAATTCATATGAAATCTGCAAGGGCCCCAAATAGTAAGCCATACTTGAAGATGAACAAGCTGAAGGTTTTATACTTGCTGATTGTAAAAATGATGAGGCCACATTTTTCAAAACAGTGTGGGAGTAGAATACATGTAAACCAATGAAACTGAAGATAGAGCACAGAAACACACACATACATCCATATCTATAGATAAATATAGATAAAATTAATGGCTTTTTTATACTAGATGATTTACAAACACTGAAGATCCACATGCAGAAGAATGAGGTCGCATACCTACGTTATATCGTATACAAATGACTGGTAAGCATAATTTTACTTCCAGAAGGAACTTAAAGTCATCAGAGCCACAGAAACAGAATGGCAGCTGCCACGGCACAAAAGGAGGGAAACTCAGTGTAGCCCTTCTATGCAGGAGTATCAGATCTACTCGTGTGATTAATGGATTAATGAGTTATCTCCACGTCGGGCATGCTAGGACAGCGTGTCTGGCTGTCACTCACCTTCTCCCTGCCATGTGCTGCCTGTAACACCTCTGGACTCTGCCAGCAAGAAGACCGCTACCAGAAGTGCCCTCTTGACCTTGAACCAGACCGTGAGCCAAGGTCAACCTCTTATGTATAACTAGCCCACTGTGGCGCTGTGCTATTAGAAACAGAAGACAGATAAAGAGTAGCTATCACACAAGCAAAACGATAATAATAAAACCACCAACAAGGATACGGGGAAATTAGAGCCTTTGTACATTGCTGGAAGAAATGTAGATTAATACAGACACAACAGCAGATGGTGAGATAGTGGCTGCATTGTTGAAACATATTAAAAATAAAATTGGGCCCAGCATGGTAGCCTAGTGGCTACCGTCTTCACCTTGCATGTGTTGGGATCCCATGTAGACGCTGGTTTGTGTCCCGGAAGCTCCACTTCCCATCCAGCTCCCTGCCTGGGGCCAGGGAGAGCAGCAGAGGACGGCCCAAAGCCTCGGGACCTGCACCTGCGTGCGAGACTCCTGGCTCTCGGCTCCTTGCTTTGGACTGGCTCTGCTCCAGCCATTGCGGCCACTTAGGGAGTGAACTAGTGGATGAGGATCTTTCCCTCTGTAACTACTTCTCTCTCTAAACCTGATTTTCCAATAAAAATAAATAAATCTTTTTAAAACTTAAATTACCGTTTGATCCATGTATTTCATTTCTGGGCATATTCCCCGAAGAATAGAACAGCATTATTCACCATAGCCAAAGGTTAGACACATTGCAAACACCCACTGATGAGTGAAAATTAGCTAACCAGCATGCACTGCATGCATACAGCGGCATATTATTCAGTCTTGAAGAGGAATGAAATCGTGGCCTGCTGCAGTAAAGCTTAGCCTTGGAGGTACTAGGCAAAGTGAGACAGTGCAGACACAAACGACTGGTAAGCATAATTTTACTTCCAGAAGGAACTTAAAGTCATCAGAGCGATAGAAACAGAATGGCAGCTGCCACGACACAAAAGGAGGGAAACTCAGTGTAGCTCGATGGGTACACAATGCAGATGGGTGCTGATGGTGGCTGCCCAGGCCACTGAAATTCATACCCACAAGTTGCTAAAATAGCAAAATTTGCATTAGAAATATTTTAGCACAGCAGCCAAACTAAACTGCTTGAGGCCAAGGATTGTTTCTCTAGGTAGAAGACGCTCTCCAGGACCTCTGGGTGGAGCACACCATGTTTGAAACCCACATTTTTCATTCAGTGGCCATGTGGCCACTAACTGCTCTATGCAATGGCTCTATTCCCCAAGCTGAACAGTGACAGCTCTGTAAGATGCACCTGATGACCTGACATGAAGAAGGACAATGGTCATTCAGCACAGTGCCCACCAGTGACTGCTCACTGCGATTCCCATCCTCAAACTTAGCACCAGACTCACCAAACCCTCACTTCCGGCACACCTGAACGACCGGACTGACCCTGGCCCTGACTTCCTGTCCGTAAAGGGAAAATGACATCGTTTAACTTCACACATTTGCTGTTCTGATTGAGATGACAAGAAAATGCACAGAACTCTGCAATAATAAGATCTCTCACAAAAGAGAACAGCAAAATAAAAAAAGAAAGCAAGAAATGGCAAATAAGAGAATACTTGCCACCAAGAAGATCTTGGGAAATTAACCTACATGAGGGGGGAAATACTGCGAAGAAAATATAGGAACCACCAAACGTAAGATCATACTATTCAGGTTTCTCAGATATGGAGACTGCTCACACACAAACAATAAAGCATTTTAAGGTGTCTTTAACTCATGAAATCAGTCCAAATAGCTATCAATCCACCAAGACTGTTTACAGCACCTTTCATGAAGACCAAGGAAAATCAACGCTCCGAGTGGTCTGAGGCCTCATCGCACACTCACCTCGATAAAAATTTCCTTGCACGAGCCCAAGCTCCCCGCCCTGGCCTCCAGTTAAGTGCAGCCAGATGCTCCGTGATCAGCTGAGGGCATCTGGGTTTGGAAAGCAGCGGTTCTGCAGCTTTCCCTTTACCTGGAAGAAAGCAATGGCAAAAGTACCTCTGTAGGAGGAGCACTTACGGCCTAGGGTCAGCAGAGGGCACTCTAACTCCACGAGAAACAGCCAACTTCAGCCCTGCTGCTGGTGGTAGCTGTCATCTGGACTCCAGACCATCAGAGCCTCAGTGCCCATAACCAAATCTCACTGAAAATCTACATCACAACTTGGGAATTAACAACACATTCAAAAGGAGTAAACGGAGCTGAGGCAAGCGGATGTGATAAGGCCCCACCACGCAGCAAAGCTGCCTCCTTAATTCATTCCCCACAAGCCTCTTACCTTCCAACGAGAGCTAAAAATGCCTGTGGCAGAAATTGCCAAGAATTAGCTACCACCACCCACACCCCTACTATCACCCCAAGCACGGGTCACTTAGGAATAGAAAGTTACAGCCAAATTGCATGGAGCCAGCCGCCTGACAGCTGCTGAGCTGTTACCCTGGTGGAAGGGACAGATGGAACAGCCCCCAGCACCTGGAAAGTTTGTAGAACACCTACAGATGCTAGGACTCCACTTGCCTCACCAAGACAGCCACAGAACATATGTAAGCATGCAGAAATTCCTAAGGCAGCGAAGTGCACGGCCTTCCAATGTGGTGCTGGAAGAATTACAAAGCCATCCGTAATTGAAGAGGAAGGAGTTCACGTTCTTGCTGCTTGCTCCTGGTCCATGATTCAGTTAGCTACGCTTACGCCACTGATTTAATTAAGACAGAAGCCCAAAAAATCTGTCCCCACATCTGAATCTGATTCAGCCATCATGTCACAGAAGTCATCTTGTCTTTGTGGTCCAGACAATTCTGACGAAACTGACGCTGATTCTCACTGTTGGGCTGTTATTCAGCTTTAACCAGTTTCAAAAGTGGGGATTACGTAGCACACGAAAGAGGCTGCTAGCTGCTGCCTAGCTCTGTGTCCTAGCCAGTGGAAGTGCCTCTCACGAGCCTCGCAATGATAAAGAACTAGTTCAAATCTCAGCTCTGGTACTTCTTAAAACCGCCGTGCCTCGGAGTGGTTAACTGTTCTGCACTTCCACATACCCAGAGACAGAAGTAACAATAGAGACAACCCACCGTTGTTCAACGGATTCCCACTTCACGATCCTATTTCAGCAACAGCGCTTGGTGTAAACATGACATGCTTCCTTTGGTTAAAATGCTGTGTAGGTTTCACGAAACTCAACTGTTGACAATTGCTACTTACTTCCCAAGCATATCTATGTTTCTGGCCTAAGAGAAGTTCCAATTCTTGCTTTTAGCCTTTCTGATTCAGGATATACAATATAAAGAAACTTCATTTTTTAAAAAAAGCAGGACTACATTTAGGAACAAATGACTATCTATGTGGCTAAGTATATTCCAAATATTCCAGCAAGAGCTTGTATTACCATCATAGGATAACACCGTTTGCCGGTCACTCTGACAGTGAACAAACGGTCCTGAGAAAGGATGAGAGAACAGCCTGACCGCACGAGACTTGCTGCAGAGGCTCTGCTCCGATGCTTTCAGCTCTTCTAAATCAAACTGCACAGCAAGATTTCTTCCCAAACAGTCTACCGATTACTTGCAGCCAAATTGTGGTCTTTCAAACAGCACGCTCCTGTATTATCATGGAACCAGCGCTCTCAGATGCCATAATTGAGAGCTACATAGTTGATAGGGATTGGTATTCAGAATAAG